CACGTGAACATAAAAAATAATGCAAAATTATAAATAGTAATGTGTCCACGTGGACACATATATACCTTTAAAATACACTATTAAATAGTTCAGGGGTTAAAAAATATGGTATTAAATAGTCTAGGGAGGTAATATGTCCTTATGAAAGTTTAGTATCGCAACAGCAAATCCGACCAAAGTTGGGATATTTTTCAGACCCTTATCCCTTTTAAGTTTTTAACCCTTCTTTTATCTTGATGATGAATATGAATATAATACATAGGCAATATTGGATGCATTTAAAGAGGCATGTGCATCAACAAGTGCAAGTACAATAATAGTCCCAAAAGGTACATTCCAAATGAAACAAGTAAAATTAGAAGGTCCATGCAAGGCACCTCTTGAGTTTCAATTACAAGGCACTTTACAAGCTTCTCCAGATCCTAAAATACTCCCTGAAGGTGAATGGTTTACTGTTAATTATCTTAATCAATTCACATTATCTGGTACTGGTATTTTTGATGGACAAGGTAAAGCTGCATGGGCTCAAAATGATTGTGCCAAAACCAAGTGTGCACATCTTCCCTATGTAAGTACTTTTTTACATATATAATCAGAACTTTCTATAATTATTTTTCATATTATATGTTTCTTATGTAAATAAATTGTGGTGATTGATACAGAATTTGAGCTTCAACTTCCTTAACAGTTCAACAATCAAAGACATAACTTCAAAAGACAGCAAAAGTTTCCATATGAATGTTAACGGTTGCAACAACTTGACATTTAACCGAATTACTATCACAGCTCCAAAGGAAAGCATCAATACTGATGGTATTCACGTTGCTCGATCGAAAAACGTGAACATAACAGATAGTGTAATTGGAACAGGAGATGATTGTATCTCTGTTGGTGATGAATTGGAACAACTTCATATTACTAAAGTTACTTGTGGACCTGGACATGGTATTAGTGTTGGAAGTCTTGGAAAGACTCCTGGTGAAAAGCCTGTAGTGGGAGTTTATGTCAAAAATTGCACATTTATTAATACTGATAATGGTGTTAGGGTCAAGACATGGCCAGCTTCACATCAAGGTGTTGTTACTGAGTTGCATTATGAAGATATTATTGTGCAAAATGTTAGCAACCCTATTGTTATTGATCAAGTTTATTGCCCATACAATCAATGCAACAAAGATGTAAGCACTCTTATTCATCACTTATCTTTTAAATAATTTGATAGTGTGTAGATGTTGTATACACTTTATCTTTTAAATGATCTGATAGTTGTTAAGTGCACTTATCTTTTAAATGATCTAATAATGTGTAGGTGCTACGTGCATTTTTCTTTTAAATGATCTGATAGTGTATATATAGGTGCTACGTGCACTTATCTTTAAAATGATATGATAGTGTGGAAATTCTTCTACATTATTAATAAGGGTAAAGTTATAATATGGTTGGCAAAAGGTGGTTAGTTGAACCTTCCTTGACGAAAAACCATGCTCCCGTTGTTTCACTTTATTTGATGTGCAAAGTACTATATATATTTCGTTATTAATTAATCTGTTTCATAGAGAATGACACATTCCTATATTTCTTTAATGAGAAGTTCTTATAGGAACACAAATGCTACGATATATTTATATATGATCATAAGTTTCAAAAGTTTTATTGCAACATAAATGCCACGACATATTTAAAACAAGTTTCAAAAGACTTCATTTTAAGTGAATTTTATTTGAAGTCAAACTATGACATAATATTGTTTATATAAGTCAATGAAGTATTACTTTTTATATATGTATCTCAAATCTTGAATACCCTGAGTGAAATTTCTGATTCTACGTTGTTTGTTTGTTTGTTGTTGTGTATAAAAGCTAAAGCTCCTTGAATATAAGTTGTAGATTAATTTTTGTTTTGTACTTTTTTGCAGTTGCCATCACTAGTGAAGATAAGCAAAGTGAGCATAAAAAATGTAAAGGGTACATCAAGAACACAAGATGCAGTACTACTATTATGTAGTAAAGGAGTACCATGTGAAGGAGTGGAAGTTGGAGATATAGACATTACCTATAATGGAAAGGAAGGACCAGCAAAGACTAGTTGTGAGAATGTCAAGCCTACTTTTGTAGGAAAGCAGAATCCACCTGTCTGTGCTGGAGCTCAGACTGCTTGAGCTTTATTAATATATATTCAACTCGTAAAAGCAGTTACTAATACTTGCATCAGGATATATCAACATGCGGCTCTTCTCCAAACTCTGACAATTAACACGGGATCTTTTTGTGCACGGGACTACCCTAGCTCCCAAGTTTTGTGCATTTCTTAGTAATTTTTATCTTTTTTGAAGATGATAGTATCTACCAGTTTACACTGGTCCTTCTCAGTCTAATTGAGCTCTATAGCTTCTAAGTTTTGTGCTCCATTTTTTAGGAAAAAAAACATAGAGGATTTTTTTTTGGGGGATATTAGTGTCCACGTAAAGTGTAGAAATAACACATGAATAATAATAGGAAATCCTCTTGAAGAGAGATTTTTAAACATGATATTTTGATTGGTATCTAATATGTGTTTAGTTTTAAGTAATATGTATCATATTGTAAAAAAAACTTATTTAATTGAATTATTTATTAAGTAATTACAATGTAATACCCATTAATTGACAATTTAATAAGAAAATAATTAAGTTAGATAGCGTGATTACAAAAAAGTAATTACGGGTAATACACTATGCAGGTTATGAACAAGCATCGGCCCAATGTGGATATCTACAGATGCCACATAATTAGTTATTGGGTTGAGAAGAAATACCAGAATTAGAAGGCTTTCACAAAGATTTGGGACTCATGGCCCAATTAAGTACAACTAGGTACGAATAAGAAAGAACGGTTATGCAAATTATTGAGAAAAAAAATGTCTAGTCCTTTCATTCCTGTTAGATTAGGTCTTAGGCCTAACTCACACTCCAAAAGCTAGCTCAAAGGGAGGAGGAATAAGACCTAATCTAACATGGTATCAGAGCAGGGCCCGTCTCACCCGATGTTGGGGCCCCCAAAATAAAAAATTGCCCACGCACCAGATGCTAAGCACTGGGCGTGAGGTGGGGTGTTAAAGAATGACAAAAGTCCCACATCGGTGGTTAATGAGATGGATGAACTCCTTATAAGGCTTGAGTAATTCTCCTCCCTTTGAGCTAGCTTTTGGGGTGTGAGTTAGGCCTAAGACCTAATCTAACAATTCCTTTTAATTTTCACAAAGTCTAAGCTTCTCATCTCCCTTCTAGTTATCTTCTTCAACAATTCTTTTGTTTTAACTAGTCCATTGTTGTTCTACAATTTCTTTGTCAGTTCTATTTTCGTATTGTAATTTTGATGAATTTAGTGATTATAATATTTGAATGTTGTTTCTTTTGTGAAATTGAAGTTATTACACGCTGATCACTACAAAATAATATTAGTTGGCACCACTAACGACATTTTCACGTAGATAAGAATAATTAGTCGTAGTACTTCAGGGCACAAATGAAACTTTGCTATTGGTGAATTATATATTACTTTTATAACCTTTAAAGTAGTTTTGACACTATTATAAGACATCTAAAATCAAGGAATATAATAGCAATATTTCCATTTTCATGAGTAAGTTTGTCTCATAACATTTACTTACTATATATGTCGTTTTCAGATTCAAAGCTTAGAACACTCGATCAACCCTAGATCCCACACAACCTTTCATCGTCAAATCTCTAAAAGTTCATACGACTTCCATTCACTTACTATATTATTCTTATCTCGATTTTACGTATATTTATTAATATATTCAACTGCTAATAATAGTTGAATCTAACAAGCTAAACTAAAATGTATGTCCTTGACTTCATACAAATTCGAACTAAACCATTTTTTTTGTAAACAATTTGACGCACTAACAAAACATGACAATTGTGTGTTGGTTTAACTCACTATTTACTTTCTTATTAGCTTCAACATTGTATATTTTACCGGAATCACATATTGCAATTTGTAAATGAGAACCAACGAATTAAGCTAGCGTTTCGCCATAGATTTTCAAATATTCTTGGCAAATATTATTTAGGTGAAAATTTGGGTGAAATTTTACCATGTGTTTGGCCATAGTATTTGGGAAATATATTTCACTTTTTTAGAAAAATATGATTTATACCCACGAGTTATAAAAACTATCAAAACTAACCATAAGTTTATATTACAAGTCAATTGGATCTTCGTTGCAACAAATAACAAATAGTGTCCATGACACTAGAGTAATGTGGTAGTTTGGAGTGAGTGCAACAAACATCATTCCATACATCGTGAAGTAGACAAAACACATGACTTTGCTACCCTGAGCCGATTGTTCATCATTTTCATCAACAACCATATCATCACTTTCGTATTCACTAAATATTTCATCACCATTTTGGTGTTCACGTAAAAAATTATGTTATACAACACAAACAACTACTATAGAGGGTGATTTTGTAAAAGATAAAAGTTTGGTGTGAAATTTTAATTTTCAAAAGATCCCAAATAATGAGATTTGGCCCAAATACTAGAAAAAATTAGTATTTGAAAATTTGGGATATTTGTCAAATAATGGCAAAATGTATGGACAAACAATATTTGTCAAATTTTTCCCCAAATATTATTTGGGAAACCTATGGCCAAACGGGCCCTAAGAATCAAAACAATGAAAACTAGATGAACGAAAACGTGATTAATGAAATAACACAAGAATCAATTATCTAGGACTAAAATACCAAACACACCCATAAGAATCTAGCAATTGAAGGCGGCAAAACAGAGAATTAAAGGGTATTTGAATAATCGCACAACACTAACACAAGTGGCGATAATTGCTTCTCTTAATTATAAATTTCAATTTTAAGTTCAAAATATGAAAAAAATATTTCTTGCAATTCGCAAATGAACTCTATACAACATAAATTTAAATTAATCGAGCGTGACTGTGACTGTGACTGTGTTGCATGTGCCGTTATGTAGAGACAAACAATCTTTTATAGATTGTGATCATCTTCGTCCCATTTCCCAATTCAAATTCTACATTAATCCCTACTCTCCAATTCCCAATAAATAAATCACTTCCACCAACTGTGTCAGTGTACGTACAAGTGTAGAGGTAAATACAATAGTGATACCTCACAAAAAGGGTTCAAACCCCAAAAAGTATCTCTTTCAGCCAAAACCCTTTTGCATTTCTTGGCTTTTCGGGTTTGGTTCTGTTGCTTGCTGCTTTGTTCTTGCATTTTGGGTGAGTCTTTTTTTCTCTCTGATATTTGGCATCTGGGGTTTGCTTGTTTTAGATTTTTCTGTACTGGCTTTCTCTGATTGTACGAAATCAAGAAATTGGGTCTTTTTGGTAATGTATAAACCTGATTTTGGGGGTTGTTTTGTTGGAGTTTGTGTTTTGGTGGTTTATGGAGTTGCCCCACTTTAAAGTTATGTCCTTTTAAGTAATGTAACTTCTGTTGGCTGATGGATTCATCTGTTTCGTTTGTTGTTGGTATTTATGCTTATTGTACTGCCGTTCTCCATATGGAATTAGCAGTTGTTGCTGCCCATTGTTATGCATGATTGCAGATTGTTTGATTTGCCTTTTGCCCTTCACTCTGTGTTTAAACTTGTGGAGTTTCCAGTTCTTTAATTTTCTGTGCTATGGGCTATGATGATGATGATGATGAGAGGTACAGTTACAATTTACAAGGATGGTGTTTTGATTAGAGCTACATAGGTTTTTTTTTTTTTGCTTCTTTTTACTGGTGAAAGTAATTTTTATCTAAGAACACTCTTTTTTGTTCATCCTTGGTGATATTTTGCTTCATATGTTAAATCTTTCATCAGTCCCCAAATCAAGATATGCTTTTGCCGTCAGATTTGTTGTTCTTTTGCCTCCATTGGCCTACCATTAAAGAAAAAGGAACTTTTGTGCACAGTATTTGCCTTACTTTTTCTGGTTTCCTTTTTGTAAATTGCTGTTTATCTTGCTATTTTTTTTATTAGATTACATTTGTTTTGAGGGGTAAGGTTTAGCATACATCCTACCTCCTTAGACCCAACTTGTGGGATTACCCTGGACCCACATAGAGTTCGCCGGGTGCTCGAGCATCCATTGACCTCGTCTCGGAATATATATATATATATATCTATGTAGAAATTAAGAAGTATTTGTATAAAATTGGCATAGAGCACCCAATGAACAAATGATTTGACTGGTCCATTGGCTCTTGGGTGGGTGCTTAAGGTTCTTTTAGTGTTGTTGAGCCCTTTGACTCCGCCACTTCAAGAACACCCACAACGTTAGAATCCTACATCCGCCACTGACCCTGTGTATGTTGTTGTTGTTGTATAGTGGTGAGTTTGTTCCACTGTGTATGAAGTGATTGAGCTGTTTAATCAAGACTCTGGACAGGTTTTAAAAAGGGAACACCTTATTTTGATTTAACTTGAAAAGCAATTGTTAAGCTGCCTATAGTCATGACTCATGTACGTTTCCTTGGTTTGATAATTGTGGTTATGATTATCATTATATAATTGTATGTATAAATGTTTCACTGCTATCATTATCAATGTTTGAGAAATGAGTAGAGTTTGCTGAGTGATGGGAGAGAGATTCGTAATTATTCGAATTTGTTTAATTCACCTTCTCCTTTCTTTGGATGCCTGGATTCTAGCTGGAAAACCACCAAAAGTTTATTGTCTTAAAGTTGTTGAATAGTCTAAGATCTGAAAAATAATGATGTACAGGTCCTGGAGAGAATAAAGAAGTATAAGGGTAGCACCATATGCATATCTCAACTGTAATTTTCTTTCGTTTTGATGACTACAATGCTCTATCTTGGACATATAACATTTGATTCCCTTTTAGATGAAGGATGAGCTTCAGGTTGCTAGTAGAGAGAAGGATTATGAGGATGTGATTTAGCTAATTTTATGATAAAGAGGAGATATCAGATAGGGCTTTCGAATTCATTCTTTAACTATAGTAAATTAGTGCCAGTTCTGTGTCAGATTAGCAATATGCAGTTCATAGAGGAACAAATTACCTTCTTCCAGAGGAAATACGAGAAGAAAAAACTGTTAACAAGAAAAAGAAGAATGTCTAGATTAGTGGGAAGGGAAGTTGATTGAGTCTGCATGAGTGGAAAGGCAAAATTTTGGATTTAATTAGGATCAAACTTTTTTCAGCCTTGTATCAACCTGGACAATCATGTATGTTGTTCTACTGTTATAATAGTCATCAAAAACTGTCTTTTGCTTGTTAGATTTTCACCAGTTTTTGGTCTAAATGAATCTTGCACTTGTCTATGATGACTTTGTGTATTTTAGTGTATTCTTCTGATGACTGACGTAATCTCTTGTGCATCTTAAAAGGGTGGGAAAATGCCTGAGAGAATTACAGCTGAGGATCTTCTGAACAACATTGTGGAATCAATTGCTGATGGGCTATCAAAGCAGAAGTCTCTGTCAAAGCAGACGTCAGGGTCTTTCTTTGAACAGGAGAAATCAAGCTCAGTTAATGCTCAGCTCAATAGGCTATTTGGCCGTCAAAAGCCAGTACACCACATTTTAGGTGGAGGCAAATGTAGGCCACCTTATACCTTAGCTTTTCTTTGTCCTTACAATGGTTGTATTACAATCCTTTATATGCTTCATCGGTTTTTGTAGCTGCTGACGTCCTGTTATGGAGAAACAAGAAAATCTCAGCTGGTGTTTTAGCCAGTGCCACAGCCATCTGGGTGCTATTTGAGTGGCTGAACTACAATTTTCTTTCACTTTTATGCTTTGCTCTTGTCATTGGTATGATTATTCAGTTTCTTTGGAAAAATGCTTCTGGCATGATAAACAGGTAATGCAACTTAACCTGCTTCCTGAGCGTCATGCTATTCTCCTGTCTTAATCTCATTCATTAATTGGTATGATATTCTTGAATCAAGTGAATGTACAATCTCTTTGGAAACAGGTCTCCAGCTAAGGTCCCTCGTCTTGTCTTACGTGATGACCTTTTCATCAGCATTGCCAAGTCAATAGGAGCTGACGTAAACCATGTTTTGGGCTTCCTTCAAGATGTTGCCTGTGGGACTAACATCAAACAATTCTTAGTGGTAAATCATCATTTTTTTTTTGTTAGTATCTTTTAAATAGATAAGTTTATTTTAAATTTAAAAAATTCCTCAGATCCAATTTCAAGAGTTCTCGTTACAAACTACTATGCATTTGATTTGTATTATATGCATGGACTTCTTCAAGCGTGATCTTTTCAAAATTATTTGCTTCCTCTGCATCAACTTTACCAAATATTTTTGCTAAGGTCATGGGCCTCTCACCCTTTAGTAAACTTTCTTTGATTCAGCATTTGCCAAGTATCTTGAGCAATCTAATTGTTCTAGAATTTCTCTTCCTAATTCCTGAAACAACATCAATACGTAAAGAATGTATTATTTTTTACCTCTCGGCTCTCCTTATGTTTTTGGTTCCAGACAGCTTTCCGTTCTGTTTATATAGTGCCGAGGAAATTATTGATAGTAATAAATGTCGAGAGGTGTGCTTCTATCCTTTCTTTTCACTAAGAGGACAAGCTACATTGTCACAACACTGTTGTGGCTTGTTCACTTGGTGAAAAGGAATGCAAGAAGCACAACATTTACGCTGTCAAAGATACCAGAAAGAATGCAAGCAAATTTCCCTTTCCCTTTAATTCAATTGCAAGAATCTACGTCACTTCATTGAATTTTTGCAAACAATTTTATTCTTTATTAATTGTTACGAGGACAATCTGTATTGCTCTGAAGTCCTATCGTTAAATGGTTGGTATATTTAGTGGATAACATAGTCAACCGAAGAAGATACCGTTCTTTTGTTCATATTGGAGTCTCTTCTCGGGATGCTTTGACCTTTAAGCACTTGGTTCTTGAAATATGAATTCATCAAATCATCTGATCCCGAGCCTTTCTGATGACTACTTAATTAACGTCATGGGATTTGTTCTAGGTTGTGGCGAGCTTGTGGGTTGCTGCTATTATTGGAAGCTGGTGCAATTTTTTTACTGTTCTGTACATTGGTAAGTTTTCTTGCCATAATCTGGATTGCTGGTGCAACTATAGATTATGCATTTGTTCTGAATTCTTTTCAAGGTTTTATATTAAGAATATTCATATCTTTCTCCGGATATCACGTCAAGATCCAGAAAGTTTTAATTTTGAATATGCTTGTGATATTAATTGTCTTAGGCTTTGTTGCTGCGCATGTGCTTCCCGTGCTGTATGAAAGGTATGATGATCAAGTCGATGGCTTCGTATACAATGCCCTCGAAAAGTTTCAATGTCATTACCAAAAGCTGGATCATCGTGTTCTCAGCAGATTCCCCACGAGCAAATTCAGGCTAAAGAAGTTTGAATAGGTTAATCAGCAGAAAACGAACTTGTAAGCAGAAAGTATGAAATGCAAATGCATTTCCTGCTTAGGAAGCAAAATTCTGCTTCAAGGTAATGGCTCGATTAATTCAAAAGAAAAGACGATGTATCGATGGCATCGGAGAAACTTTTATATGTTCGAATACTGTAGTAGAAAATATGGCATTGTGAAAATAAGTTGCTTCTTGTTCTGCTTTTCTTACCATCTTCTATGTTTCTTAGACACTACTTATTGTTATCTCCTGTATTCAGGTTAGTCAAAAATACAGAAACAGAAAAAAAAGAAGAAATTGACAGAATGATTTTTAATCCGAGTCCACAGAAACCACTGTGTTTCCTTAAGAAATTTAATCCCCTCACTGTACCCGAGGTTGCAGATTAATTCCTCCCAAGATAAAACGGATTAATCTGTTAAAGAAGTAGCGGTACCTCAAACTTCAATAACTTCAGCAAACGCAAGAACAGCAACAAGAGCACACACAGACTCAGTCGATCAACAATTTTATTTATGTAAGAAAATGTATGCAGAGAGGAAAAATTTCAATGTTTGAAAAAACGAAAAAGACCTCTTATTTATAGCCATTTGCAGCAAGGAACGTTTGTTCAGAATTAATTTATAAAAGAAAGAAAATGATTTAACAAGATTGATTAAATAAATTTTGTCCAAAAATATTATCAATCAATCATTTGCCAAATCCAAAGCCGAGCGAGCGACGACGACGGCGCGATGGGGCACCTTCTTCTTAACCCTTTAAGAACTAAAGGAAGTGTTTCCTAATATAAGGACAACAATTTCCTTTCTTCTACCGATATGGTAAAAATGACCTTTCATTTGCACTTTTGCAATGATGACTTTTCATTTTCCCTCCAAAATTGGTTCCCCCACTTTCATTGGTTCTTCCACTTTCCATTTTCTCTTTTATTTCCCATTCACACCTTGCTAAACCCAACACTTATTACCACACCAGTATCGGATCCTCCTAAAATGCATTACTTTTGGAGGATCTGATCACCCGTAGTTTCTTCCAAGAGTTTGAGTAACATAGTACATTGGAATTAAACTAAATGAAATGATTAATTTGCCAGAAAGCTAGTATGTACTCCTTAATATCTATATAGTATCGGGTCTGTAACTCAAATAAAAGTCATGAAACAAGTAGTTTGTAAACCAAAATTAGAACTAGCGTATTTTATGAAATCAAAAACCTCTGCACAATTTGCTTTTGATCTCGATAAAGCTACTTGGAATCGATTTGTAAGAGGTCAACGATTACGTAAATGTCTTAAAAATCCCAATCAGCTCCAGAAGAGATATTTGTAATTTTATATCTAAAAATAAATATAATTACATCACATTTGCCGTGTATGGTTGGATGTTGTACTCTGATCCTCTTTTTGTGCATTTATGTTTTTTTATCTCTCTTGCTTGCAGTTTAATTAATACTTTCGAAGGTCATATTGCTATTTAGAAAAATTAATTTTTTTCTTTCATTGCAATAAGAAAATTTGAATTTTTAATTAGGTTTACTTACAATACTTTTTACAAGCTGTATTTAGCAAAATTATTGATTGCCAGCCAAAATCTTCTTCCCTTATAGCACTTTCTTTTTCCTCCCAACACATACAGGTATAAATTTACTCATACCAGACTTTTACATTTAAATGTATATATAATTATTACATAATCATGATTGATTAATATATATTTTTACTTTATTAATATTTGTAAACATCTGGGAAAAAATTAGGAGGAAAATAAATGATCAGTAAAAGAGTTTTATGGTATTAATTTAAAGTTCATTTGCATATAATATAAATTCAATACAACTTGAAAGTACTAGATAACTTCTTGATTTGTTCAATAACTATATATAACATATGAAATCGAACTCTTGAGGTATAAGTTTATAACCAATCGAAATGCTAAGATTTCTCGTTTACATATTAATTGCACCTTTCTGATGGTGCAGAAGGAGGAATAGGAACCCCTTTTGGTAGCATATCGAACAATTTAATACTCTTGAGAAACTCTTTCTTTTCATCGGAAAACATTCTAGAAGCTTCCTCTTTCAAACGCCTCGGCATCCGTGACGCCGTCGGTGGGCATGCACTACCATGGTCAAGAACAAGAGATAGTGTGAGAATCAAGCATATGAATTTCCATGACGAAAAATAATGAAGGGTTTTGGAATTAGGAGAATAAGCCATTTTCTTATAGGGTTTATGTTTTTCTTTTACTTACGTAGGGGTATATATAGGCTATATTGTGCATGAATATGTGCATGGAGAAGTGCAAGATTTAACAAATGGGGAATTTTTAGTAGCGATTTTTATCTGATTATGTATTACTGAAAAACACGTAAGTTTACATTCTAAATTTACCTCGGGATAATCAAGAGAGAGTGGATCATACGGAAGGTATGTATACATTGAATGAAATTCTAAGGTGGTACTCAAAAAGAAAAATTTTGAATTATTGGATTATGTTAATTCTTTTCTATCTACGTTTTAATAGTACATACTAATTCTTTTATCGTATGAATCGAGAGGGTATTAATTTCTTTGCTTGTACGTATGTGAGATGTGTAAGTTTGAAAGGTTTCCTTTGTAGTTAATTTGGTAAAACAAGACTATACGAATTTTCATTAATTACTTAATTAACTCGGCAAACAATTGTATCAAGAATTAGTTAATAAAATTACTCTCTCCATTTCATATTATTTGGCCTCTCTACTAAAAATAAATATCTTATTTTACTTATCCAATTTAAAAAATGAAAAAAAAGCATAAATATATAATTTAAGAACAAAATAACCCCTATATAATAATATTTTTTTCTTTTTCAAACATATCAGTAGAATCTTTATAAAACATAAAAAGAATAAAAACATCATAATTCTTTTTATAAAAAAAGAAGGTACGGTTAATAAATAGATATTTATTACTTAAATTTCTCCCAGTTTTTTTTAACTTCCATACTTATCTCCATTTCACATATAATAAAGAATTGTTAGACTAAATAGTTGTAAAGTTCATCTTTTTTATTTCAAATTATGTTTAAAATTGATTGTTTTAAATGTTTTTGCATTGCATCAATTGCAATAATTATAGATAGATCGATGACGCTACCCATATAAAAATCTTAATTAAAATCTGTCGCAAAATAAATTAGTTTGCGGAAGAAAATAATATCAGTTGAATGAGTTTTTTAAGAAAAATGTAAAATCATATTTTGTATTTGTATTTTGGTGCAAATATTTGGTACGTTGGTGTTGGTAGTTTGTAAAGCAACACCATCGATACAACACATTGTAAATTATTTTTTATACGAATAAAGTTTTTAACAACACTGGTTATTTGTTCTTATATATTGATATAGTAGTTATTTACTAATTTAATAATAATAAAATATTGATATATATATTTTATAAAATTATGTTATAAGATATTATAAAGTTGTAACATATAACAAAAATCAACTTATAACGTCCAATTTATAATTGGTATCAAATTGATTATAGTTTGGTCACTTGTGTAAGTTATTCATTATATGGTTAAAAAAAGGCTGGACACCAATATCCACAATGTAAACTATTTAATATATTTATTTTTTGAAAAACTAAAATAGATAAACTAAATTTAAGTCTAATGATTTATAATTGGTATCAAATTGATTATAGTTTGGTGTTAGTAATTCATTATAATAATTTAAAATTGAAATTGGACACCAATACGAACTCATAATGTACACCATTTAATATATTTATTTTTTAACTAAAATAGATAAACATTGTTTTACGTCTAATGATTTATAATTGGTATCAAATTAATTATAGTTTGGTGTAAGTTATTCCTTATAGTAAAAAGAAAATAACATCAATAATAAACCACAATGTATATCATTTAATATAGTCATTCATTTTTAAAATAAAATACTAAGACATTGTTTTAATTTGGATGGTTTATAATTATTATCATGTTTGTAAGAATTATTAAAATTTGACTAAACTGGTATTTAGTACTTGAAATGTATTGCATGAAAACATATGGATTTTAAGATTGAGGGACTCATTTATGGAACAATAAACATCAAATACAATATCTTAATCAAGACTATTGCTTTTCATAATATACATAAACAATTAAAATGATCATCTTTTTATATTGTTTATGTTTATATATATAAATAATTAAAATAATTATTTTTTTGTACATTAAAAATTATTTGGACTACATGATATTATTAGTTACACGTAATCAGAAACTTGAGAGGAAAAATTAACAATTAATGTGAATTGAAAGAAGTATATACATTTACATTATATTTATAGGAAGGTTGTTAGCAATTAGCATATGGGTTTGGTTTCTGACCTTAATTGTGGGTGTGAAAGGAAATTCTATACTTTTACAGCTACATTGTTAACTTTTTTTTAGTGTTTCGTTTAAATTTATGTGATACGTTTTACTTTTCAATTCTTAGTTAATATATAAAAAAATTAAAAAAATATTTTTAAACAAGGGAAGTGGCTCACCTCACTAGATTTACTACCTTGTTTGTCCAGAGTATCGCTAATCTAATTATACCTGTTCATTTTTAAATTTAAGGATCAAAATCTATTTAATTAAAACACCTCCTAAATCATTATTAAAACTAATACATATATAAGATCTGGATCAATACCAATATGGCAAGTTAAAAGCAACCACAAATATTGTTGTGGATTAGATTTATAATTAAAATTTCATATTCAGAATTATATAAAAAGTTTTATAAGTTGTATTTTTCTCAATTTTAATTTTTTGGAGCTAAACTGGATTAGATTTAAATTCAGAAACAAAACAAAAATATTATAAATTGTAATTTTTCTCTATCTCAAAGTTCATGTAGTTTTTTTTTCCTCCCAAAATTCATGTATTTTTTAACTCTATTTAGGGACAAACAGTGTATTTAATTTGACGTGCTTGGGATTTTGGGGTGGAAGTTTACCAATTTGTGGAGACTT